TCATGGCATATTTTATTATTGATTTCATTACTTTTATTTTGTTTAGTAATATTAATAATATTATTAATTACTTTATTGATTTTCATGAAAAAAATATAGTTACCACATTTGATTTCTTAATGCTTATTATACTTGATAACTTCAGTGTCTCTTTAAATTAGAATTTATAATTCTTATTTCCAATTTTTAATGTTAATCTTGGCCTAAATTCGAATTCAAAATTAAACTACACTTCATTTAAGCATTTTAACAACAATAATAATCCAATAAAGGATCTTGTGATGACTAAAAATATTATAAAATGGTGTTACCCCAAAATAAAAATAGCAGCACTTGAAAATTGCATCAGCATGAAGCTCATTGTTGTGCAATCAATGTAAGGTATTATGTATATTTCTTAATATATATTAAATAGCTCTGTTATTTAACATTGAACATTGTTTTTTCCTCACACAACAGAGTATTTATATGTATTTGTATATGATTGCTCACTTGTACACCTACCTATATTTACCCATTTGTGTGTGTATATATATATATATATATATATATATATATATATATATATATATATATATAAAATGAAAAATATGTAGACACTACTCATTATTATAGACACTATGTTCATTATTGCAATGTATATGGAATATATACAAAAAAAGAGCAAGCATAAAATTAGAGTATATATGAAAAACACTATTTAGATTTTACTGCTGTCTGCTACTAAAAGTTTCATGTGGATGTAAAGGTGGTCAATGTTATTGTCACACAATCATCAGGTTGGAAAAGAGGTAATATAATATTCATTGAAATAAGTCAAGTGGAAACCTGACACATGTCCACCACTTTGACTAAAGAGTGAACCAGACTCTTGTCCACCATTTTGACTCTAGAATGAACCTGACCCATGTCCACCATTTTGTAGTAGCCATTTGCTTCTATTCAGTGTTGATTTGTTCTGTTACAGAGACAGTTCTGAAATAGTTTAACTAACTTGAGAGAACTCAAGAGAGAACTTTGAGAGGGGAATTAACAGGAGATAACTGACCTCCATTAGACATGGCACGTGGAACTAGAACAGTCTACCCCAGTGAGTGAAATAAAGGGTTCAGTTCGACATTCCAACCACCTGAAGAAGGCCAGAGTGTACAATGGCCGAAATGTTGTGATAAACATGGCAACAAAGATGAGAACAATATTCTGAATAATGTAAATAATATTCAGCATTGTTTAATCATGACTCTTTTGGGATTGTTCCACTGCTCTTAGGCGTCAAGATAAATTATATGAAACTGGCCACTGAAAAATTGAATCATCAGAAAGATTACACAATGTGGTAAATTCTACAACAATTTTATTCCATTTTAATCCATTTGCTCCCAGTATTCCCTAGTGGGACTGCAAGTGCTTACAGTCATTATAATCAACATTACTGATGTTGCGATAAACATCCCCCTTCCTAAAGTAATTTATTTTCTTTATTAATTTATTTCTAAATTTTCCAAATTACTAAAACAAACTTTGATTTGTAATTTAAATTAAAAATCAAAGTTTTTTTTGGTTACAGTCAAAAGGCAATAACTCACTCACTTTGTGAAATCAAAAAAATAATGGAATATGTATTCTCCCTCTACTTTGAATTTTTCCAGTACTTTCACTTTGTATTATTATTTGTTTGAAAATCCTTGTAATGATCATTAATTGATTTCTTTCTCAAAAGTTTATTTTCAAAATCTGGAAATGAAATATGTTTCCTGTTTTTTCAAAAATCTTCCTGATTAGTTGTCACAATAAACGACCTATTGTCAGTGTCTGCTGACTTAATTGATCTAAAGAAAAATATTGGAACATTGAAGGACACAAGACATGATAAACTCAACAGCTATTTTATTCAAACTCCACCACTTGATTCGCTTGCTCCCAGCATTCCCTAGTGGGACTGGAAGTGTCTACAATCATCATCATAATCATAATCAACATTATTGATGTTTATATAAACAGGGATCCCAGAGTTTAAGAATATAGGTCTGTTTGGTTTTGGTAAATGTTAGTCTGTTTTCAATCTGCTTCTTTAAAATAATTGTGTCATTGTGTAAACCAGAGTTTGATAATAGTTTTTTCGGCAATTGAATTCTACCCCCTGCTTTTCTTATTAATGAGTCATCTCAGAAGAAAAATAAAAAAGGAGCTTATTTTCCCAGAAACCAGTTGGAAGGGGATGATCTGTTAGGGATAAAAGACAGGGGTAAAAGATACTGTTGTTGACCGGATGTTTCTCTAGGCTTTCTTTTTTCTATTTCTTTCTTGTTTTTTCTTGCATCATTCCATAGAGCTTGTCTCCTGAATACTAAAAGGAATTAAGTCATATTTGATCCTAGATTATAAAGTATTTTCAGAAGAAATACATTGGTCTTGGAATAATATAAAAAAAAAAATCTTGCATAGGACATTGTCACTTACTATTGATATTTTTTTTACTTTTGCAAGAGGCCTATTGTACATGTTTTATTCAAATTCTTTTTCTTCTATCTGCCATATCTCTTCAGCAGGTTGGTGATCAGGGTTCTCCATAATTTCCTGTCCTTTGTACCTCTTAATAATTTTTGCCTTTTTGTCTAAACATTGTTCCATCTATTTACTCAAACTTACTAGGTAGTTTATGCATTACTTTCGTCTTGACTTCAATCTATCCTGTGAGTATCAAATTCTCCAAGCCCTCTTTCCTCATTGTGTGCTTCATCTAAGAAATTCATACAAGACTATTACATTTTATTACTATAAGGTGGAAACATGCAAGAGAAATAAGATGAAAGACGAATCAAAAATGAATAATAATAACAATGCTTCATCTAAGAAATTCAAACAACTTAAGACTATTACGTCTTATTACTATGAGGTGGAAACAAGCAAGAGAAATAAGATGAAAGAAAGATGAATCAAAAATGAATAATAATGACAATGCTTCATCTAAGAAATTCAAACAACTTAAGACTATTACATCTTATTACTACGAGGTGGAAACAAGCAAGAGAAATAAGATGAAAGAAAGACGAATCAAAAATTAATAATAATGACAATGCTTCATCTAAGAAATTCAAACAACTTAAGACTATTACGTCTTATTACTATGAGGTGGAAACAAGCAAGAGAAATAAGATGAAAGAAAGACGAATCAAAAATGAATAATAATGACAATGCTTCATCTAAGAAATTCAAACAACTTAAGACTATTACATCTTATTACTACGAGGTGGAAAACAAGCAAGAGAAATAAGATGAAAGAAAAAACGAATCAAAAATGAATAATAATGACAATGCTTCATCTAAGAAATTCAAACAACTTAAGACTATTACATCTTATTACTACGAGGTGGAAACAAGCAAGAGAAATAAGATGAAAGAAAGACGAATCAAAAATGAATAATAATGACAATGCTTCATCTAAGAAATTCAAACAACTTAAGATTATTACGTCTTATTACTACTGGAAACAAGCAAGAGAAATAAGATGAAAGAAAGACGAATCAAAATGCAAGAGAAATAAGATGAAAGAAAAACAACTAAACTTAAGTCTTATTACGAATCAAAAATGAATAATAATGACAAATTCAAAAATCATCTAAGAAATTCAAACAACTTAAGATTATTAAAGACGTCTTATTACTACGAGGTGGAAACAAGCAAGAGAAATAAGATGAAAGAAAGAAATCAAAAATGAATAATAATGACAATGCTTCATCTTAGAAATTCAAACAACTTAAGACTATTATGTCTTATTACTACGAGGTGAAACAAGCAAGAGAAATAAGATGAAAAGAAAGACGAATCAAAAATGAATAATAATGACAATGCTTCATCTTAGAAATTCAAACAACTTAAGACTATTATGTCTTATTACTACGAGGTGGAAACAAGCAAGAGAAATAAGATGAAAGAAAGACGAATCAAAAATGAATAATAATGACAATGCTTCATCTTAGAAATTCAAACAACTTAAGACTATTACGTCTTATTACTACAAGGTGGAAACAAGCAAGAGCTATATAAGTTCAGATGTTTGAAAGCCGCAAGACATTAACTAAATTTATATGTACATATTTGTTACATCTACATTAACATTAAACTTAGGTTTTAATCCAATGGGGTCACATACATACTCAGTAAATAATTTTAAAGCTTGAAATTTTTCTTATTTAACTTTTTATATTAACCTTAATGAAGAGGAGCTCATCCAACATATTTCTCTGAACCTCATATTAAAGGTAAAAGAGCCACATTTTGGCCACACCAGCTATCTAGATTACACAGCACTTATTTTGGTTTACAGTGTTACTTAGAATGGTTATGTAAATGTAAAAAAAAAGCCTTAGTTGGCAATATGTGACAAATTGCTATAAAAAGAATCTGTTCATTATTTATGGCTTATTTGTTTAAATAATGCACTACTGTGTCATATGGCAATAACTGTAAGTAAAATGATGCATTAAAATAAGTAGCTAAGTAATCATTTTAAGTTCTCTCAATATTGGTGCCTATACATTAACTCGAAAGTAAATCACATATAGATTGAATTGTCAAATGAACAACCCTGATTCTTTTAAAATATACCATGTGAAGAACAAAACACATGGCAAATCCCCAAATATTTGACAGTCAGGCATCATCCAACAATTGCAGCTCATCTTTACTGTGTCCCACACCCCCACAAAATTAGTAGCATCTATATGAGACAAGCCAGTATCTCAGTCAGAAGAAGGAGGTCTGTTGATCTCATTCTGAAAGTGCTGTTCTTGCAATTATTTGGGAATTCCTCCCACTTGAAAATATAAAAAAAATTTCCTGCCTACAAGTTATTAAGTGAAATGGAATTACAGGCGTGTGTAAACACAACTCTGTTATCTATGACTGGTTGAATATTACGCCTTGAAAATCCAAAGTTTCGATTTTTGTAAGTGGATAACTCATGACTTGACTTAGGAATAACCTGCAGAAGAGGTTTAATGTTTCAGTTCCCAAAAAACTTGAAAAGGTTGTTTAAAAACTATGGTAGTCAGAGGGTAAATTTTTTCCTTTCTTCTTTTTTCCACCAAATTTTCTCTCTCACCATCCTTTGTTTTTCTTTCTATTTTCACCAATTCTCAGTTTCCCCCCCCATTCTTGTGTTTTGCTTTTTATTTTACCTCTCCCTCTTCCATTTTTTTGCATCTCACTCACAACCCTTTCTTTCCCTTTTTGTCAATCACTTCCTCCATTCTATTTCTGTTTCTCCTGCCCACATTTCTTTTTCTGCTTCTCCCTCCCTCCTTTCTCTTTCTTCTTTCTCCCTCCCTCCTTTCTCTTTCTTCTTTCTCCTCCTCCTTTCCCTTTCCTTTCTTTCCTTTCTCTTTCTTCTTTCTCCCTCCTTTTCTTTTCTTCTTTCTCCCTCCCTCCTTTCTCTTTCTTTTTCTCCTCCCTCCTTTCTCTTTCTTCTTTCTCCTCCTCCTTTTCTTTCTTCTTTCTCCCTCCCTCCTTTCTCTTTCTTCTTTCTCCCTCCCTCCTTTCTCTTTCTTCTTTCTCCCTCCCTCCTTTCTCTTTCTTCTTTCTCCTCCCTCCTTTCTCTTTCTTCTTTTTCTCCTCCCTCCTTTCTCTTTCTTCTTTCTCCCTCCCTCCTTTCTCTTTCTTCTTTCTCCCTCCCTCCTTTCTCTTTCTTCTTTCTCCCTCCCTCCTTTCTCTTTCTTCTTTCTCCCTCCCTCCTTTCTCTTTCTTCTTTCTCCCTCCCTCCTTTCTCTTTCTTCCCTTTTCTCCTTCTTTCTCCCTCCCTCCTTTCTCTTTCTTCTTTCTCCCTCCCCTCCTTTCCTTTCCTTTCTCCCTCCCTCCTTTCTCTTTCTTCTTTCTTCTCCCTTTTCTCTTTCTTCTTTTCCCCTCCATCCCTCACCCTCTTTGTTTCTTTCTCCCTCCCCCTCTCCCTTTTACTTTTATCCCCTCCTCCACTTTCCTTTGTTATTCTCCTTTCTTCCCTCCCTCCCTTTCCATCCCTCACTCCTTTGTCTTTCTACCTCTCTATCCCTCCCTCCACTTTTTACTTCCATTCCTCCCTCCCTCCGCTTTTTTACCATCCCTCCCTCCCTCTCCCTTTTCCTTTTTAAATATATATATATATATATATATATATATATTTCTCCATGTAATGTGACAGACAATATTTTATAGGATGTTTTTTAGTTTTTCTAATGTTCTTTCGGTTTAAATTTTTTCGTAGCTAAGATAGTATAGAAACTGTTTCTAACAGGTATATTAGTAAACAGAATTTCAATATCTTCACTGCTACATCCCATGGTCTCTCAAATTCCTACTCATGTATATAACTTATCTAAAACTCTAAATAAATTGATCCACCCATACTTATCTAATAAATATAGTGTTAGTTCAACCAATGTTTTCCTTGACATTTTACAATCTAGTAAACCTAACAATGGCATCCTAGCCTAATTAAATGCTGAAAGTCTGTTTACTAATGTTCATGTTAAAGAAACCATAGAAATAGTTATACAAAATTTATAGAATCACCCTTGGCTCTCATCTCCTCACATTAGATCAAATAATTGATGTAAACTCCTATTGTCTTGCATCACATAAGTACCATTTTATTATCACCATGGTAACATTTATGAATGATCTGATGGTGTTAGCAATGGGCTCACCTCATGGGCCTACTTTATCTAATTTTGAGATGAATAAAATATATATATATATATATATATATATATATAAAATTTTTTTTGCTTAAGCATTTTAGATGGATACTCATATTCAAGTAAATGCTCTGTTTATTTAATTAAACAATATTTTTTATTTAATTACATTTGCCAACCTGAATATTTCAGAAATCTTGTCACAAAATATGTGTCCTCTGGCAGGATTTGAACATGCATCCCCTATGGGGAACCATCATTAGATTTGATGTGCTTAACCAAGGCCCAAAGTAGTGCTTTTGAACTCACATTCTCTGCCAATTCTTGAAACAGCCATATCTTCTCTGTTTGGTACCATAACATAGACATTTTTATTTTATGAAATGGATTAAATCAGACATATTTTAATTTGTTTTGCTTACACGTTATTTTATTATCTATCTCAAATAATGTTTAAGCAAAATTAAAATGTCAAATTTAATCCATTTCGTAATATATATATATATATATATATACACACACACACACACATGCTTATGGCTACATCATGTTGAAACACTAATTCCCATATGATCACCATAATTAAGCAACATTGAGCCTAACAGTATCTAGATGTGTGACTGCTTGGGAATATCAGGTGCTGTAAGCTTGTGTGTGTGGGTGGTATAATGGATAATGCTTTGGAATGATTAAACAGAGAGCTTAATTACAATTCCTGTCTTCTCCTCCTAGCTACGGGTTCATTAGTAAAACTTGTATCACTAAACCATTAAAAAAAAGACAAAAAAAAACTTTTTTACTAAAAAGATTTTCTGGCTTTATTTAACCTACAAAGGGTTGATAAACAGTAAAAAACATGTCAATCAATTTTGATAGTTTTCAATTGCTGTGAATGAAAAAAAACATTTGGGTTATGCTGAACTGTAACATGTTTTTTTCTAACTGGTTTCATAATTGGTAATATTTGTTTACAAATTAATATTGGTATATTAAGTATTTTTTCCCAGCTAGGGGTAAATAGCATGCCAGACTGGGTCCTATAACTTTGGGTGTCAACTGGTCTAGGAGAAGGAAATTGCTCAGGAATCACCCCTGCTACTGCGGTTTAAGTATGTGTGGTACTCTTACGACCCTTATTAGTTACAGCTCTCAGAAATATGATTTAGAGACATTAATTCACCTGCGATGAAGCTTTTAGCAAACCTACACACATCTGGCATATTGAGTTGCTTCCCTTGGTTACCTGTTTTTGCCAGTTTTTTAAAAAGCATATTCACAGTCAGCAGATGCTGCAAAGACAGTTTATAATATCCTGTAATAAATATATAATTTTAAGACATTTAAAAAATAATAAATTCCTTGTAAAATCATAATTGTGTTTTGGGAATGCATAGTTAGGAAAGAAAGCTTAAGAATTTTACACTCACATGACAGATCTAATGCAAGAAAACAGGGAAAATGACAAGTTTATTTGTTGGTAACCAAAAATCAATCTCAATCTGTTGTTAACTGGAGCAACACCTGGCTTGTTACTTTTAATCCCTTCAAAACTAAACTGCACTCTGTTAATTATCTTAGAGAACCTTTTTTTTTGTTTTTTATCAGTATTTCTGATGGTAACCTTGAGGAGAGTAACTCATTGTGCCTTTTCAATCTAAAGTTTTCTACCGATATGAATTGGAATGATTATTTTGAATCAATTGCTAAGTCTGCTGCTAAAAAAGTTGGTTCACTGTATTGTGCTAGACAATTTTTCTCACATGAATCTGTCTTGCAACATTTATAGATCTACCATTTGTCTGAATTTGAATATTGTTGTTATATCTGGTGTAGTGCTTTTGCTATATATCTAGAGATTCTTGATAGAATCAAAAGAAGAATTTGCAATGTTATTTTGACATTTTGACTTCAATCATCCCCCACCCCTATAACGTAGATGTTTTTCTGTTATTTCCAATTTGATCATCACTTTCTTTTGATTATTATAATTCACTTATTATTGGGTTTAGATAACATTTGTTCAGCCCCTCTTCTCTGTCTTGTAAATTCTGAGTGAAGCACTTCTTTTAGAGAAAATGGCATGGAATTTCAGGAAATCAAAGAGATACGCCTACTTATAATGTCTGAGGTTGATACAAAAGGTTCCAGCATTTTCTTCACAATTGTAAAAGTCTAATTTTGTATGTCTGCATGTATTCTTTAAGTAGTTAAAGTGGTGCATTGTAGTCAGGCATATTGAATTAAGGTAAACTTGATGTGTGTAACTTCTATGTACTGTCTCTTGAGAACTTGGATGATCACAACTCTCCAGAATTTCCTGTCTTTTTACTATCCTTCCTAATCCCTCTTCTGTCAACCATTTACACAAGTTTATTAGGTAGCCTATTTGGTGGTTTTCTGTTGCCTTCAATATACCCTGTGAGTGTCAAATTCTCTAAGCCCTCTTTCCTCATTATGTATCCTAGAAATTTCAGTTGTCTCTTTCTGATTTTAATTGATTTTTTTTTTTTTTTCCAATTTCCTTAAAACTTTGTCATTGCTCACATGTTCAGTCCACAGTATACTCAACATCCTTCTGTAGAACTATATTTCTTCTGCCTGGAGTCTCTTCTTCATATGTGAGGAGATTGTCCAGCATTCATTGCAATATAGGTCGACTTGATATTACATAACATTACTCTTTTCTTTGTTTCTAACAAAATGTTCCCATTTCTTAGTACTTTGCTTAGCTTTTGGAAGGCATATTAGTTCATTACTCTTTTCTTTTTTTTCTAATGAAATCTTCACATGCTAATTTAAAGAAAAAATGAAAACCTCTTAAAAATGTTGACAAATTTTAGCAATGTACCTGTTTATAAATTTGGCATGTAGTTCAGCTTTCGTTGAATATTTTTTAGGTCAAATATTGTTGTTGTTGTTTTTTCTTTTTTAGGGGGGAGGGGTGGCATGCATATTTTGAGGTTAGTTAAATATCAGTTTAAAGAAACCAGCTACCAGAAAACTACCAGAAAATGTAAAAAAAAAAAAATAAAAAAAAGACTTGTGAATGCATCCATAGAGAACTGTCAGTAAATAATCAATATTACTGGCATAACGGTGTACTTCTTTTTGTTTATTCCTCATCTGGGAACTTTTTGAAAGCACCTTGTATTATTGACCCTCTATCATATTCTCAGCAGAGCCCCAAGATCAAATCTAAGCTATACAGTCTGGTGTGTCATTTTCTATGTGCTAGGAGTGTGAATTGCCACAGTAATTCCTCAACATTGTCAGCCTCTAGGGATTTAATCTGAATATTGGCAGTTTTATAAAATTGCACTTCCAACACAGACACTTAACTTCTGAAAGCAATGTCAGTCTCTCGGCTGCAGTGATATTGCACATTTCAAATATGGAAACTGATCTTTTGAAGCTATTGCTATAAGCCTCAAGTTAAAATAATTCCTACTGGATATATGCACAGTTGAATAATTGCCTTGGGTACCTTCATCTGTGTTCAGTGTTCATCATGAGATAAGCATTAGATTTATTGTTGCACATATCTCTTCTTTAGTCCTTTTTTTATCTTGTGGTTGACTGATGAATGTTGATGTTAGTTGGTTTATTTTGTTTAACAGCATATCAACATCTATAGGTTATTTAATGCTGAAATCTAAATATTTTGAGCACAATTTTATGGCTTCAACTAAATATATTTTGAGAGCTATTTCTTCAACTAAGATAAAATGTATTGTTGGTCATTTTGCTATAAAATGTATTTTTTGTAATTCTACTATAAAATATATGGTTGGTATATCTTAATTTATTTCAGTTGATTTTGTTTAGTGGTATATCAACACCTCTATGGGTCATTTAATGCCAAAATCTAAATCTTTTGAACACAATTTTATGGCTTTAACTACAGATAAAATGGTTTGTTGGTAATTCTACTATAAAATGTATCATTGATCATTTTACTATAAATATGTATTATTGGTAATGTTTTTATACAAATATGTATTTTTATACTTTCATAGTGTTTTTTTTTTTTTGTGGGGTTCATTATAAGCTGATAAGGGAGACCTTAACAGATGATACCACACTGGGTCAGGGTGAACCTTAGAAAAACAGCAATTAAGAGTTTTCCACTCTCCTGAAAATCTCCAAAAACCTTCTAGCTTGATTGGCTCTTGAGTCATTTTTACAATAGTATAAAAAATGACCTTTGAAGCTGAATATGTAAATTAGTAATTTCCATTATGGAAAAATCGCTAAGTTGGACAAGATGTAAGACACATGCTGATAGATATAAATGATAGAACCATGTTTATTTGATGTGATTTTATGTAATATTTGCACACACACACACACACAACCAACTTTATGTATTTACTTTTCTTGGTTTTCTTTTTCTTAAATTACTTCTACATGCTTTTTTTTTTTTTTTTTTGATCATTTACCCCCAAGCAAAGCTA